GCTGGAAAGGTAACATGCCTGCTCTGATTCCATGCCTGGAATGAATATATGAATAAACAAATAAAACGAATCAGATGTTATCCTGAGTTGTGTAAGCCATTCTAGTGGCTTATCAAACTTGAGGAGAGTATGTAGAAATCCACAACTTTGTAGCCAGTGTAGGTAGCCTGGGACCTCTGAACTTGATTGGTTTCTTGGCATCTGAACTGAGGATAGTTTTACTTATGAGAGCTTCTTCCTTCCTTCCTTCCTTCCTTCCTTCCTTCCTTCCTTCCTTCCTTCCTTCCTTCCTTCCTTCCTTCCTTCCTTCCCTCCCTCCCTCCTTCCTTCCTTCCTTCCTTCCCTCCCTCCCTCCCTCCCTCCCTCCTTCCTTCCTTCCTTCCTTCCTTCCTTTTTGTCATGTTGGGAATCAAACCTAGCATGCTAACCAAGTGCCAGAGATCAAACTCAACACAAACTAAGCAAGTGCTTTACTACAGAGCTACATCCCAGCCCAGTACTGAGTTTCCATAGTTAAAGCCAGAATGGACTTGCAGTATTACACTATGTAAACACAGACCATTGAGAACGCATTATGATAGAACTTAATGGAAAGGATGAGGAAAGTAAAAGGGAAGTAGAAGTTTTCCTCAACTATAAGAAGTCAATAAACAATAAAAAATTGATCCAGTAGTAGATAACAGTATATGGATAGGATTCTGAACATGGGAGAAAACACAAGGAAAAGAGTGATGACAGTAATAGCTTCTCGGAATGATAGAAAGAAATAGAATAGTATGTGGTAGTGCTAGTGTTTCAGTGTAAAATTGTGTGTGTGTGTGTGTATGTGTGTGTGTGTGTGTGTGTGTGTGTGTGTGTATACACACTAGGGCTTGATCTTGAGGAACTGTGCTCTTGCTTTGTTGCTCATAGTTGGCATTCTACCTCTTTAGCTATACCTCCACTTCTGGTTATTTATTGGTTAATTGGACTCTCCAAATTTATCTGCCCAGGCTGGCTTTGAACCATGATTCTTAAATCTCAGACACCTGACTAGGTAGGATTATCAATATGAGCCACCAGTATCCTGTCCAGCTAATATAAGCCTTTTTAAACCACTCTGTTCTAACATGTGTTATTTTAGTATAAAGAAAATCAAGTTCCAAAGGAAGGAAGCTTGACCGCAGGTTCTCTGTAGTCCCCTCTCCCTCAAAGGTCATATTCATCAAGAAATAAATTTGGACATTGACATGTAAAAGTGGGTGAGAAAATATTGAAAATGCTCTGTGTGATAACACCTATAAGGAAACAGAAGTGAGCAGAGAGTGAAGTAACACTGTGTGGCAGATGGAGCAGAGGTCATAACCATTATGACTTTGAACCTTGGATTCTCCTTCAGACATCTAGTGAGGCAAGAGGGCCTTGCCTGTGTCCCTCAACGTAGAGCACTATGCAGACATGTGCCACCCAGGACAGCAAAGCACCTTCCTTTGGCTGAGAGATACTTACTCAGGGTCTGATAGCACTCTTGGAAAGAGAGAATAAAATGAATACCTCCATACTGGATGGTTCTTTTTTTTTTTTTTTTTGGTCAGTCATGGGGCTTGAACTCTGGGCCTGAGTGCTGTCCCTCAGCTCTTCAGCTCAAGGTGAGTGCTCTACCATTTGAGCTACAGTGCCACTTCTGGTTTTCTAGTGGTTTATTGGAGATAAGAGTTTCACGGACTTTCCTGCCTGGGCTGGCTTTGAACCACGATCCTCGATCTCAGCCTCCTGAGTAGCTAGGATTACAGGCGTGAGCCACAGGTGCCCGGCTACTGGATGGTTCTGATTGGTTGTATTAGTCAGCTTTCTGTCCTTGTTTTGTTTTTGTTTTGTTTTTTTTTAAATACCTGAGATAATTAGTTTAAAAAGAGAAAAGATTTATTTTGGCTCACTCTTTTGGTAGTCTCTTTGTTTTAGCCCTCTGGAGGGAGGGCAGAACCTCTTAAGGGGGGAAATGTGGCATTGCAAATAAAGAGAAAGTGACTGGGGCCAAGGTGCCTTTTAGGGGCATGCCTTCAATGACCTGAAGACCTCCCAGGGTGTACTATCTCTTCTAAAGGTTCTACTGACTTTGAGGTGTGATGGCTAAGGGACTGGGCCTTTGGGAGATATTCCAAATCTATAATACCTACTAGTTCAGTTAATGATGTGTAATACAAATTCCTAAACCTGGAGTATCTGGCAAAGGAAGACAATGCCCATTAGGCAATTTTTAGAGCACTAGATGTGACATACAGTTGGTCTTTGTAGGCTTTATCTTTAATGCCTTGTACATGACTTAGATCATTGTGGGGTTGGCTCTTTTAAACCCACACCCAAACAGAGCTGGGCACTGGTGGCTCACACTTGTAATCCTAGTTACTCAAGAAGCTGAGATCTGAGGATTGTGGTTTAAAGCCAGCTAGGGTAGGAAACTCATCTCCAGTGTACCAGCCAAAGCTGTAAGTGAAGGTGTTGCTCAAGTGATAGAGCACCAGCCTGAGTGAAAAAGCTGAGTAAGAGGGTGAGGCTTTGACTTCAAGCTCCAGACATGTGCACACACACACACGCACACACGCGCGTACACGCACACACGCACGCACATACACACACACACCTGACTTGCCTATGTAATTTTGAAATTATTCCAGCTTAAAATTTTAGATGCAGAACATTGTAACTTCATTGTAGTTTAATTCTTGAGCATATTGTTGTTATGAAATTTTAAGCATCTTGATGTAAGAATTCTATTATAATGAGTTCATGCTGTAATCACATGTCTGATTTTCTTGTTCCACAGTGGTAGGCTTAAATAGGATAGTGTAGGTACAAAAGCCTTTGTAAGTAGGTCAGTGTAGGAGTACATGAAGTACTGTACTGAGAATGAGAAGACCTTTGAGAAACTATAGTGCCTCAGGCACGGAGGTTCTCCGAAAAAGTATTTTATGGAAGACTAAACTAACTGTTGAATATCATTCATGAGTTCAGCAGGTATCTAGCAAGCAACTATCTTGTGCATATCATATGCACTGTCAACAATCTGATGGAAATATAATAAGGACATGTCATTGTCCTGGAGTGGTTGTACAGGCCTGTAATCTAGGTGAGGTGAGGCAAGAGAATCCAGAGTTCCAGGTCATCCTGAAACATAATGACACCACATCTCAAAAACCCAAAACCAAATGAGCAGCCAAACAAACACAACAGCAGCAAAAGACACATGGGGGGGGGGGGAGAGAGAGAGAAATTGAGAGAAATACAGTGATACAATCAACATAGAGAGAGTGGATATAAAGCCTAAGGCTGTTGTGAAGTATTTGTACAAGTTGAGGAAGGAGAAAAAGGCTCTTGTTTGAAATGATCTGAACAATGTGGCTGGAAAAGTTTGATTAAAGAACAGGGCAGGAGGGAAAAAGTTGAAAGAAAAGAGAGAATTGGAAGCAGTTGGCATGTGTTTGTCTTTCCCTTGTCAAGCATTAGTGAATCAGTAAGAGGGAGACAGTATAAAATTTGGAACCTTGTAATTCCAAGAACAGTCAGGATGTGAAATTACAGAAAAGCATGATTGCATTGATTGTGAGGTTGGAGGAACTTCCATGTAATGCTCCATTTCATTTGGCTTGGTTCTACAATAAAGGCTTAAACCTGTGAATAGTGTTTCTCACAAGCAGAATAAAAATGATTTAAAAAACCCACTGGAGCTACTTTTAAAAAGAATTCTAGGGAACCAGTTTATTTTGTAAACTGATAAAGTTGAAAACCTTTAAAACATTTATTTTGTGTCCTTATACAGACTCTATGTCATTGTAAACAATTAATGAAGAATAGTTCTTTTCCCAAAGGAAAATTAAATCTTATTCAAATTCCATTTGTCTCTTAATTAAAAAAAAATTAGCCTATTAGCTGGGCACTGGTGGCTCACACCTGTAAACCTAGCTACTTAGGAGGCTGAGATCTGAGAATTGCAGTTTGAGTTTTGAAGCCAGCCCGTACAGGAAAAGCACGTGAGACTCTTAACTCCAATTAACCACCAGAAAACCAGAAGTGGCACTGTGGCTCAAAGTGGTAGAACACTATCCTTGAACAAAAAGTTCAGGGACAGAGAGCCCAGACCCTAGGCCCTGAACTCAAGCCCCACGACTGACCAAAAGAAAAAAAAAAAAAAAGACTACTCTAACATATACATAAGTGAATATATATGTAAGTATATATGTGAATGATTTTTATCAGAGATAAGGTCTATCCTAGTCAAGATGTAGAATATTTTTCTATGCCTCAATAGTTTTTCTTCATTGTCATCTCTAACACCCAACAAATATTCTGACTCTGTTCCCCAAAGATCAGTTTTGCCTCGTCTTTTAATGGAATTATTGCATACTTTTTATGATGCTGGGGAAGAAATGCTTTCATCCTTTTTTTCATTCAATGAAGTGTTTCAAAGATTCATGTTTTGCATATTTAGTAGTTAGCTTTTTGCCATTAGTTTTCATTGTTACGACTATGACTGAGGTATACAATTATTCTGTAGATTAATATTTAAGCCTGTATTCTTTACTCTGGGTAAGTGAAGCTATCAATAGTTTTCTTTCTGTAGACATAATGCACTCGTATCTCTTGGGAATTACTTGGTCATGGGAAAGACATGTCATTAGTTCTAGACATGTGGCCAAATCATTTTTCCAAAATGACTGTATTGATTTGCACCTTTACCAGCAATGTATGAGAGTGCTAGTTGCTTTATATTCTTGTCAACACTTAGTATTACGGTCTTTAATTTTAGCTGTTGGAATGGGCCTTCAACCCTAAATCTGGCTTTGCTCATTTATTTGGTACACGAAGTTCTCTACCACTGGGGTACATTCCTAGCCCTAGGTATGGCTCTTTTACATTCTACTATTGCACAGATTTTCTTAGTAATTTTCTTGGTATAATTGGTGGGTTCTACTATGACTATTTCCTTAGTTCCTTAACTAAATGTTCTTTTTTTCCCTTCTCAGTTGTCACAGGCAGTACTGATGGAATTGGAAAATCATATGCCGAAGAGGTAGGTGACTTTCAAGACTTTTCTTTTTGTTACAAAAAAACTAGGAACAAATATGGAATAATCACTTACAGTAATTTTGATTTAGGAAGTCAAACCACAGGGACTGTAGGTGTTCTTTCTTTCTGTCTTTTCAGAAATAACCATGTTTGTGAACATAAACAAAAAATTTTAAAGCAACTATCTGCACAAAATAAGTACAGAACTTTCTATGCTGACTATTTAGAATTGCAAGAAATGTAATCTAATCTTACATCATTTAAGTGTGGACACCCTCACCTCTAGAAGTCAACAATTTATTTTCCAACAGAGATATTGTTATGGTCCGTCACATTTCTTAGGCTAATCTGTAGCACCATTTTCAAAGAGGGATTGTGGTTACTAAAGATAGTGACAGATATAGACAGAGGATTCAAGGCCTGTACTGTAAAGGCTGGGAGAGCATACTAAGTCAGACCACTGTACCAAGCAGGAACTTGGGTTGTAGTGCTCTTGAGGCAAGTGTACTGCTCACCAGTCTTCACACAGGCTGGCAGCTATGCTGTTACCTGATTCTGATAAGATACTGGCACAGGCATGGAATTTTTCACTAACTGTTCCTAAAGGGCTTGGTTTTTAGAACAGTTTTTGTCTGTTGACCCTTTTATTTTGAAGAATCTCAAATTTTGATCAGCACCCACCCTTCTCCTGGACTGACCTATTAACACTTTCTTACCTTTAACTTACTTTGTGATTATCACTACCATTATTGTGGTTATCTGGCTGGCTAATTTGTATATTATAGTAATATACCCTTGCCAGGTGCCAATGGATCACACCTGTAATCCTAGGTACACAGGGTGAAATCTAACAATTGGGGTTCAAAGCCAGCCTAAACAGGAAAGTCTGAGAGTCTTATCTCCATTTAACCACCAAAAAAACTGCAAGTGGAGCTGTGGCTCAAGTGATAGAGTACTAGCCTTGAGCACAAAAACTCAGGGATGACACCTAGATGCTAAGTTCTAGCACCAGGACCTGCTCAAAAAAAATTTTTTTTAATTACAGATAGATTTATATCTATCTATAGGGATATAGACATATATATTTATATATTTTTATATATTTATATATGGTTATTTAAATGTATATATTATATATTTTTATATATAGATTTGTACCTATAGGGATATAAATAGATATAAGTATATCTAGGTAGATATATAAGTGTATCTATATATTTATACAAATTTATAGATGCTATAAAGATCTATATAGTATATATAGATCTATATATGTAGATCTATATAAGTATATGTAGATAATTATATCCCTATATCCCTAGATAGATAGATAGATAGATAGATCTATCTCTATAACTCTACCCTATATCCGTATATTTAGATCTATCTGTCTAGGGATATATGTGTGTGTGTGTATAGATAGATCAATAGATAGGTATAGGTATATATCTATATCTAAATAGATATATAAATATAGGTATATATTAATTTACCTTCAACTAATTCAGGATAAATCTTCTAAGAACTAAAACATTCACTCTTATAACCCTACTACAGTATTCACACAAAGAAATTTTAACTTGGCATAGTACTATTAATGTAATGTTGAGCCCATTTACAAGTTTCCTAGTTGTTCAGTAATGTCCTTTATAACTTCCTTTTTTTCAGTTAACAATTTTGGATTGCATTTGTTGTCATGCATATCTCTTAGTTTCCTTAACCTAGAAGGTTTCTTTATATCTTTTATTACAGTGAGCATCTCCTCAACTCCTTCTTCACCCTTTCCCCTTTCTCCTATTGTGGTGCTGAGATCATCCAATCCAGGTCCTTATGCATGCAAGAGAATGTCCTACCATTGAGCTCTACCCTCCTCCCCTTATAACAGCAACACTTTTGCAAAACCCCAAGCCAGTTGTTTTGCAGACAAACTTGTATTTGATTGTTTCTTCATCTAATGAGGATAAACTTTTTTTTTTGTATAAATGCTATTTATCCTTCTGAGTCCATCTTATCAAGAGGCTTTTAAAGTCCATTTGTTTCATTATTGATTATGCTAATGTAAACAATTTATTAAGATATGATCTACCATAAGTCTCCATTACAAAAGGTCTTTAGTAAGGAATATGTGTGATGAAACTTTGAGACTGTAAATAACCCAGCCATCTTTTATCCAATGATTTTAAGAGTCATTGACAATGTTTGCCTAGATTAATTATTATCATAGTTTTAAAAATGGTGAATTTTTCTAATGATATCTTTTATTCTATACTCGTTAGATTTTTTTCTATAAATAAGAGTTTTTATCTATCCCTTTCTCCCTTGTTAATTTTTTTACAGAATTAATATGGCCTAATGGATTCTTTGGAGGTTTTATAGTAGATTAATCAAGCAAATTACTAGGCTTTGTTATTTTTATAAAAGATGATTTTTCCATAGCTTCATTTGCAATGCCACTCATTACTTAATATGAGCTGACTTTAGGATTTAAAACTGCAATATTAGCTCACTAAATCACTACAGTTCATAGCACTCAACGTATTGCTCATTTATAAATTGTCTTGAAAGTTTCACTAAGAAGTTTTGTGCATGTTAGTGTGTTTTTCTCTACTTCTGTATTTACAGTCTTTGGAGTAGGAAGTACATACACTCAATCTTCATTTTTTATAAAACTTATACATTGTTGGTGATGTAGGTAGAAGATGCTCCTAGGAAATGTTTATTAATTTATTACTTAATTGCTTTAGTTTGCCTTGGTTGTTCACAATTATAATGCCCAAAGAAAAGCTTTAAAATGGATTATATTTTTAGGAATTACTTACAGTTTATCTTCATTTTTTTCTTTCCCAGTCCTCTCATCTTTGTTTTATGCATCCAGTCTATACCAAAAACTCTTAAAGATAAGTTTTAAATTTTACTAATAGTAGACACCTAATATTTAAAAGCCCCAAACAATATAGACCAGTTGAAAATGAAAAGTAAAAGTCACCATCCTTCTTAAACCCTTTGAGTGTACGTTCTTGATTAGAGAAATAAATCTTTGGAGCATTCTTTCTGTGAAAAACTTCATTTTGGGTCATCTATTCATTAGACTTGGATTTATTTATTTAATTTTAATTATCACCTGATCAGATTTTCTTCACAAAGAATCTATCTAATTTGTATTTAAAATTAAATGCACCAGTGTGACTGAGATTATTTTGATTGTTTCAGTTAGCAAAGCGTGGAATGAAGATTGTCTTAATCAGCAGATCACAGGATAAACTGAACCAAGTTTCCAGTGATATAAGTAAGTTCTCAATGTCCCATGGTTGATTACAAATGGAATATGGCTAATCTAACTCCAATGTTTTTAAGCAGATATTTAGCTTTGACATATTTGAGAAAACTTTTCAGAAAACTTTTTCAAACTGTTAATAATATGTTTTAAAGATGGACTATTTTTCAAATACACAAATGTAAATAGACATACATTTCTTTTGATGGTACTGATCAGGGCTTCACTTGTGCTTTAAGCAGTGTAGTTTTACTGAAGGGTGAATTTGAATAATGAGTCTTAGATAATGGAGAGATAGGAGGTAAACTAACATACTTCCAGTGACTGTACTGCTTCATGTTTACCTACTTATAGGCATATCTGATAATTCCTAAAGAGATACAAGTATGTATGTATATAAATTCGTTCTTTGCCAGTACTGAGACTTGAACTCATGTGTCTTGCATTCATGTGGCTTGCTTAATTGGCTGATAGTCTACCACTTGAGCCATGCCTCCAACCTAGCTGGCTTCTTACTGGTTAGTTGGAAATGGGAACTGACAGACTTTTCTGCCCTGGCTGGCTTTGGACCATGATCCTCCAGTTTTAAGCCATCTGATTATATGTGTGAATCACCAGTGCCTGGATTTGGAAATTCATTCTTAAGAAAAGCAACCAGTAGTTGCTAGAAGTAAACGTTCATAGACAGAAAACAGATGCTTTTGATGAAATGCAATGTTGAGTTTTGAAATTCTGTGATATGAATGAATATACCCTTTCTTCAATATAGAAAGGAGAAAAACTACTGACATGCTTTAGTAAGTACTCCAGCCCATATGAAATTTGCTCAATGAGTCAGAAGACATGCTTTAGTGATACTTGAAAATTTGGTTAACTTGTGATGTGAAACCTGTTGGCAGAAATATGATTGTGGAGAAAGCCAGGATCTTGTTCAAACATGTTTGTGAAGGAACAGATGGTAAAGGGACTGAATTGACCTTTATTAAAAAGAATTCTTTTTCCTTTTAATGTTGAAAGTTCTGAAAAAACAACTTTTCTGCAAATAATGTGAAGTTAATAGGAGACTTAAGTTAGGACACGTTTTTAAATGAGATATGAATCATCGCTTTAGGAGGATAATGTTTTCATAAACATAAACCAAGGTTTAATATTGACAAAAACAGACCAATCTACTTTTTTTTTCCAGTTATGCCTTAAACACGTATATTGAGTGCCTTTGTACAAGGTACTTTGCTAGTCAGTTGAGATATAATGGTGAGCAAGTTGTATACATTCCCTGTTGTTATAGAATGTATATTCTAGTGGGGTGAAGAAAAATGAGTAGGAAAAAACCCTTAAAAAATTACATCAAAACAAAGAAGCCGATGATTAAGTAGTTGCACTTTGTATTGCATGCCACAATGAAAACAAAGCACTTGCAAGGGAACAATAGCGACATTCTTATTTTGTGGCAGTATGGCAAATTCTGAGAGTTATAGGGTGAAAAAGAGGCCAAAATAATAACTTGTTGCGCTATACTATCACTCTTTACAGAAAGTGTCCTGGGCTTTCTTTTGAGTGTGGAGGAATTGTGTTTGCTTAAGACATACATGATATATGTATTATAGAATTCTCATTTCCTTAGCCTTTGGATCTTTGCCTTTACCTTATGGGGTGAGGGAGGGGGGAGGAGGAGAGGTTGTATCCTCTAAGTCTTATTATATGCTGACTGTCACGGAGCCCAAGTTTTACTCTACAATGAAGCTAGCTATTCAAGACACTCTAGCAATGACTAAGTATAAAATTGGGTATTATGTTTTCATTGGTCTAGTACTCATACAATCCATTTTCACACATTCTTACTACCAAAAAAAGTAACAGAATTTTTGCCAGGTGCTGGTGGCTCACACCTGTAATCCTAGCTATCCAGGAGGCTGAGATCTGAGGATTGAAGTTCAATGCCAGCCCAAGCAGAAAAAGTCCATGAGACTCTTATCTCCAATAAGCCATCAGAAAACCAGAAGTGACTCTGTGGCTCAAGTGGTAGAGTGCTCACCTTGAGCTAAAGAGCTGAGGGACAGTGCCCAGGCCCAGAGATCAAGCCCCATGACTGACAAAAGAAAAAAAGAAAAAGAAAGTAACAGTATTTATTTGCTATGGCTTTTGTGTATCGGGCATTGGCCCATGGATCAGACTACTCTTATTCTCCAGATAATGCTGTGATCTAGCCTTGTCATGGATGGCAATTAGGGGATGTTGGGTCATGAGGAAAGGTGTAACTGTTGCCCCAAATCCACTATTTTGGTAGCTTTATTACAGGACTACAAGCATGGAATACTAATGTCAGGGTCATAAAAAGTAAATCCTGTGTATTTGTACTATGAGGGGAACTTCAGATAGTTTGGAGTTCAAGATTCTCAGCAGCATCAGAGTTTACCCAGACCCTCATCCCAAATCTGAGGTCTCATTCATTCTCAGTTAGGACTTGCACTTTCCCACAGGAGACGTGGGGAGTCCTGAAATTTATTTATTTATTTTTGTCGGTTGTGGGGCTTGAACTCTGGGCCTGGGTGCTGTCCCTCAGTTCTTCAGCTCAAGGCGAGCGCTGTACCACTTGAGCTACAGCTCCACTTCCGGTTTTCTGGTGGTTTATTGGAGATAGGAGTCTCACGGTCTCTCCTGCCCGGGCTGGCTTTGAACCGCGATCCTCAGATCTCAGCCTCCTGAGTAGCTAGGATTACAGGCGTGAGCCACCAGTGCCCGGCATGAAATTTATTTTCCATTGTAATTCTGTAACTGGTACATTTAAAACACCATCAGCAAGGTGAGCTCTGTGGCTATAACTCATAAAAGTTTTTTTTTTTTTTTTTTATTGGCGCCACCAGAGAAGTCTTCTGTTCTGCTTATGGTAACTGTGAATTATAAAGTTGAATAAATTAATCCTGACATTTTCTTGCTGTAAATCCTCCAGTGTATTGAGAGGGAGCCATAGTGTGCCATGGTCTTTGTAACCTTCATTCATGCCAAACTCAAATGTAGCAGCCACTTGGTCCTGTAAAGGCACCTTTTCAAATATTTCATTATAATCAGCAATCAGGATTACTTTGGTTAGTTGTAATAGTATTTACTACATCATCAATTACCAGCCTCCTATTTCCCAGTAGGAAGAAGTTTAGCATTGTGATAAGCCCAAGGATTAAGTCAAGCAATAAACCATAGTCCTTTGAAGTTTCTTCTTGGGATTCTACTCTAGTTAGTAAATTCTTTGTCAGATTCCAGTCAATCATCATAAGTCACTCAAGTTAGTTTAACAAGGATCACTTGTCATCTGGCCCAGCACATTAACACTTTAGTGGGTTAATTTCATCCCTCCTGCACTGCTGTCTGACAGAAAGAAGGAAAGAGGACAGAAGGACATTGAAGAATTGATCTGCCAACCTAAGAAACATAGGAGTCCTCTTTTGCTCTTCTAGCCTTCTAACTGTCCTGTTACCATGCACACCTAGATATTTTATACCATTATAAACAATTCCTTTTGAATACAAAGGGCAGCCTACTTATCATAGCCAAAGTTCTACAGAAAAGATTATTTATAGCTTAGTAGAGAACTACATGTTTTACCAACAACAGATAAATACTTCACCAATATTAATTGCTTTGATGGAATTACAGTTCTTGTTACCTGTGGAGTTAAGACAAGTTTAAAGTCATCAAGTAGAATAAACTTATTTTATTATCATTTTCAGCCAGGAGTATTTGTATATCAAGTATTATTGCCAATTTTTTAGTTTATCGAAGAAAAAAAGCCCTAGCTAAATTATTTATTTATTTTGGTCAGTCATGGGGCTTGAACTCTGAGCCTAAGCATTATTCCTAAGCTCTTCAGCTCAAGGCTAGCACTCTACCACTTGAGCCACAATGTCACTTCCAGTTTTCTGGTGGTTTATTGTAGATAAGAGTCTCACAGCCTTTCTTGCCTGGGCTGGCTTTGAACTGTAATCCTGAGATCTCAGTCTCCTGAGTAGCTAGGATTACAGGCATGAACTACTGGTGCCTGGTTTCTAGCTAATTTTTTTTTTTTGTCGGTTGTGAGGCCTGAACTCTGGGCCTGGACGTGTCCCTCAGGTCTTCAGCTGTAGACTAGCGCTCTACCTCTTGAGCCTCAGCCCCACTTCCGGCTTTTTCTGTGTATGTGGTGCTGAGGAATCGAACCCAGGCCCTCATGCATGCAAGGCAAGCGCTCTACCACTGAGCCACCTTCCCAGCCCATCTAGCTAATTTTTTAATGTTGAGCTGGGCTTTTATTTACAATAAAGTACATTACAAAGGAGACTATCTTATAGAACAACCAGTTTGCTCACAGAATTTAGATATTTATAATTAATATAGCAGTCATAAAATCCCGATTGAATGCACTTTAATTAGCTTTGATTTAAAACAAACCATGATATTTCTCTTTTTTTTTTCTGTAACTTATTTCAAGGCAAACAGCTTTCGGATGGTCCTATAACTATATGTCTTCTCTTGAAATGCAAAGCTCTTCAAAATGTAAATCTTCTAGGTCTGTAGTCAACAAATGAATAGGATAAGTAAAAAATGTCCATTTCACTTTTTCAGTCCTAATTTGTGATCAAAGCTGTCCGCTAAGATGCAGATTTGACAAAATAAATTTATTCCACAATTTGCTGATGCAGAAACAGTGTTGGTAATATGATATACCCTGTTACATAAAGGGCTTTTTGTTTTATGTTTAATGAAACAAGAACACACATTATGTTATGAATTAATTTGAATATATCACTTATAATATATCACTTATATAATTCCAGAAATACTTTTTTTTTTTTTTTGGTCAGTTGTGGGGCTTAAGCTCAGGGCCTGGGTGCTATCTCTGGGCTTTTTTGCTCAAGGCTAGTGCTCTACCACTTTGAGCCACAATGTCACTTCTAGTTTTCTGGTGGTTAATTAGAGATAAGAGTCTCACAGAGTTTCCTGCCTTGGCTGGCTTTGAACTGCAATCCTCAGATCTCAGC